AGCTGAAGACAGACAGACCATCTGTTCTCTCCTGCAGCTGCGTGTGTTGTTTGGGGGTGTAGGTGGCATGACATACGTGACCCCTTCCTGAACTTTGCCCTCTGTGTCAGGTGACCCTGGAGTGTCCCGGCAACGCGGAGGCGCCGCGGGTCGACAAGCTGGTGGAGAGAATCCTGCACTGCAGCTGCCAGTCCTGCAGCCGTGAGCCCAGCCAGGAGGGGGCGCTCTTCAACATCTACCCCCCCGAGCCTGCACCTGAGCCCCCTCAGCCTGAGACTGCGCCCCGCCACCCCGACTTTGAGCTCCCGCACACTCACAGCCACACAATGCCTCCTGGGGAGGGATAGTCCCCCTCAAGTCCCAAAACTCTACTCCCTCTCCTCCGCCCTCCCCAGACTGCCTTCACCCAGGACAACAAACGCACTTTGATAGCCTTGCTGCGTGCCAGCCGCCACACAGACCTGGACGGACCGGGACCCCCCCGGCCTGAGTGGTCACAGCCCCCCCGAGCCGAGGAGAGGTCAGGGTCAGGGCGACTCCACGAGCTCACACTCACCACACTGGCACCACGCTCTGTAAACCTGTGTACCAATAAAGTTTAAACACTAGAATCAACAACCTGTGTGCTGCTGTGAGTTCTGGGACGTGGCGACATGTCGGCCAGAGCCGTTCTCCTCGAGCCCTGGAGTGGAGCACAGTCCCGCTGCTGCAGCGTGAAGACTGATGGGGTGAACACGCAGCTCAGTGGGAACCAGTGCAGCAAAGGGCTAATTAAACCAAGGCGATTCTCTGTTCGCTGTGCTTCTGCACAATTAGATTCCAGCTGCTTTTGGAGAGAACGTTTTGTTTGGTCAGGAGTGAGACTTTTCCCTGTCCAGCACTGCGCTGCACTGTCCCAGTCTGGGAACAGGTAGGGGTCTATAAATCCCAGTAACATTTGCAAAGATGCTAGCAGCTCCTGGGAGCCCTGCAGGCTTGTGAAAGCTGATCCCCAGAGTGACAGGGCAGGGGGATACTCAGCCCGATTGCAGGAGACGGTTCCTGTGAGGGTCACTGCTGTCCACAGTGGGGAAATAGCCTGTGGACTGACGGCGCCCTCTGGTGGCAGACAGGAGCCCCACACTGAGCTGGTCCATCAGTGCCATTTCATGAAACCCACTGAGGTCTACAGGAGCCAACCTCGACGTCCTGCACTCTTGTCAAATATCAACGCTCTTATTTGTTCCAATAGAGGTGAGATTGTCACAGAACAGCTAGCTCGCATAGACCAGAATTTACATTTTCAATGAGAAACGTATCCAGTTACAGTCCTGGTTAACAGGGAACGATATCGGACAGACCTCAGAGCTGAATGGACTGAACGGTTATTCCCGGCCACAGGCTGAGACAGCTGGGGCAGGCCTGGCCCAGACCGCCCCGACCCGACCTGGAGGTCATGTGCCGCAGCAGGCCGATACTTCCACACTGGTGTGCGCACTGGGAGGGAAACCATCCCAGAAAACAGCGCAGGACACACTGGGGCACTGGCTCGGCACAGCCACGAACTGTGCAGGCTGCTGCAGTGAGGATCGTGACGGGCCCAGCCACACACACAGCAGAGACACAACCACACAAACTGTAATTCCCACAGAGAGCAGCAGGGGGAGCTGCTCCACGGCCGCACCCGATCCCACACAGCAACCTCTCACCCGCTGTTCAGAACAGAAGCTCTTAGCAGATGTCAGAACCTTAAATCATTTATTCCCATTTTAAAACACGTCATTTTTCAAGCACCATATTTGTTGCATATCATTGGAATTTTAAAAACATTGTGCAGCACTTTGTGACACAGGGGTGTCCAGTCATTTAGAGGTTTTCCTTCAGGGCCTGACCCAGGAGTGTGCAGCCCGGTCCAGCACCGTGGATCGGAACTTGCCCTCCGGCCGGGTGTGGCCGGTCCATCTGCCCCCGTCGGCAAGGGGCACCCCCGCCCCACGGTCCCGGAGTTCGGTGTCCTGGAACGCCGGCTGAATCTGGAATGGTTGTGGTAGGAGAGGTGCTCGTCTCGGCCGGTCTCTGCGTGTCTGCGGCAGCCCTCAGGGGGAGATCAGGGCCTCGCTCTCCTCCCCCTTCCTGCTGCGCGGTCCTCGGTACATCAGGAACTGGACGGTGATCTGAGGCCCGGGGTTCAGGAAACACAGGAGTACCGGACAGCGAACCACCGGCTGGGGCAGAAGAGCGCTAACAAAGTGCAAACGGGAAGTGCAGCCAGGCATCAACACTCTCGCCAGCAGCACTGCAGGTGAGTGTAGAAGCAGTCACGGCTCCTGGGGGCCGTTCATCTGACGCCTCCTAACTGAGCAGATCCCTGTCTGAGTCAACAATATCTTACAGCTGTGGCGCATCTTTAAGCACAGGTGAGCTATCAGACTAACTGTATTGGGGCTCCCCAGGACCAGACTGGAGACCCCTGACTTAACGTGACCTATTAGACTAACTGGGCTGGCCAGGACCAGGGCTGGAGACCCCTGATTTAACGTGACCTATGAGACTAACTGGGCTGGGGCTCCCCAGGACCAGGGCGGGGGACCCCGATGTAAAGGATACCACGATGTCCAGGCTCAGGGTGCCCAGGCTGCCGATCAACCAGGGCAGGTGGTGGACGATGTAGCTGAGCTCGCGGTGTCCGTGGTCGGGGTTCTTGAGGAGCACGCTCAGCCCGTACGTCGTGTTCCCCAAGATCACCAGCGCAAACAGGAAGTACGACACGCCCTCTGTCGACTTCCTTTTGAACTGGGGTTGGGGGGGCAGACACAGGGATGGGGGAAGAGTGCAAGTCAATTTTTCTCTCCCTTTCCCCAAGCAAGCCCACACGACACCCCCCCAGACAGACTGCCACGCCCCAGCTTTCCCTCCCCTGCACACCCCTGCACCCCAGCGAGACTCACGTTGGTGTAGATCTGTGGCAGACGGGAGCAGAGGTACAGCACTGAGGACATTGAGCCGATCACAAAGCCGATGATCTCCTTTGTCTGGAAGGGCTGGACCAAGGACACAGAGACACGTTGTTTCTTCTGCTGTCACACCCTGCACAGCTCTCAATCGCTCCCAGATAACCAATACACACACACACACACACACCACATACCTCTATTCCACTATCGCCAGATGGGACTGACAACAAGACCCGACCTCCGACCCCCAGAGGGGCGTCAACACTGGGCCCCGCCCCTAGGAACAGCGTCAGGGAGGCGGAGACTCCAGCCAGAGAGGCCACGCCCACAGCATTCAGCACCACTCCATCTGAGGCAGAGGAGGAGAGAGAGGGTGAGGAAGATGACAGCTCACACACAGGCACGCAGGCGGGCACACAAAGACTCACTGGAATGTCTCCTGTTCTTGAACTTGTAGTAGTTGAACATCCCAATCATGAGAAGGTCAGCCAGCACATAGTACACAGCTGTGTACGTCTGAGGGAGACGGAGAGAACATGCTTTTGTCAAGGAAGCATTCATTTATGTATGCATGTTCTTGTTTTCTCATTACTGCCACCGTTACACCAGTAAAGCACCTCTCAATCTCAGATAAAGACGAAGACAGTGTGGTCTGTGGGGCAGCAATGCACTGTGGGATAGGAGTGTCTCAGGACAGTCAGGATCTAGTTTAGGACCGCTGGGATTGTCCGTCCCTCCTGTCTCACGCTGGACTCCCAGTCCCTGTTCCTCCCTCCCTCCCAAGTCCCACTCTCTGACCTGCAGGGGGAGCTGGTCCGCAAGGAAGGATCCAGTGAGGTTACAGGTGTCTCCGGCCAGCCAGAAGACCAGGAACCACACAGACAGGGCCTGGTCCATGTTACCCCTGCGGCAGGAACTGACGTACTGCCTGCATGTGGGAGAGAGGCGATCCCATCACCGGCAGAGCAAAAGGCAGGAGATCAGAGTCCTGTAGCCTCCTGGAATGATGTCACACTTCAGTGTGCATGTCAGTGAGTATACAGGCAGGCTGGTCTGTCTGCAGGTGTGCTGTGGTGTATACAGGTGTGGCAGAGTGTATACAGGTGTATAAGGGTTTTTGTGGTGTATACAGGAATGGTGTGGTGTATACATGTTTGTTGGGTGTGTATAGGTGTTGTGGTGTGTACAGGAGTGGTGTGTTGTGGTAAATACAGGGGTGTTGTGGTGTGTACAGGTGTGTTGGGTGTATATAGGTGTGGTGTGTACAGGAGTGTTGTGGTGAATACAGGGGTGTTGTGGTGTATACAGGAGTGTTGTGTACAGGAGTGTTGCGGTGCTGTACTCACGGAATGGATGAGGTCATGAAGCAGAGTATGGACAGCAGCCCCAGCGCTACGCTGGCCATGTCCCGCGCGTCCTGGGCACACTCCTGCAGCCCCTCCCACACCCACTGCGAGCCGTTGGGGCACCACACGGAGAAGTTCCCATCCTGCTCCCTCCCAGAAGGCATTGCTCCGCGCCGGCGCCGCAGCTGGGGAGCACAGACATACACAAACACGTTCAACCCTGATCCACACCGCCTAGAAAACACACTCTGCAGAGGGCAACAGGAAGAATAAAGAGCATGTATCCTGCCCCCCGATTCCCTCCCCCTCTTTAAGTGTCTCCATTACGAAGCCCAAAACGGCCATTTTAGTCATCTCCCAGTCAGAGACTACAGGTACCAGAATGCTTTGCGCAGGCGAGGCCTCTGGAAAACAACAACAACAACAGCAGAACGGTGGAGCGCCCGAACCCGGGGCAGCTGGAGGCCCAGGCGGGACAGACCGGAGCCAGTCCGCACGAATCCCGAGCAGCCTCGCCCGCTGCTCTCCGCTTCTCCTACCTTCCCCTCAGTCGTGCTGTGGCGGCACAGCTGACAGTATCGCCCCGCGTCCGAGCAATGAGCAGGGAGCCCCGGCCGCAGCAGGGGAGGGACGGCCGAGGCAGAGGAGGGAGGGACGCGCCAGCTCGCCTCCAATGACGGCGCAGGCCTGCGGAGGGCACGCTGTTGTGCGTTGCCACCTGCGAGCCCTGCCCGTCTCAAAACATCTCAAAACAGGTCTGGGCACCGGGCTGTCCTCCGGCGTCACGGGATATTCCCGGCTCAGGAATGCTTCTCTTCCGGCCTCTGACGCCACTGATCGATTAAAGAAAACACTGACCGTTCAGCCTGATCGCTACAGCCCCGGTTCCACCGCGCTGCTGCTGCTGGTGGTGCTGGTGAGGTTCGTCTTTCTGAGATGCGCTTTCGGTCCGGTGCGGTCTTGAACCAGACAGCACCGGGCCGAAACCAGCAGTTCACGCTCTGTCGCGGGCGATGAGACGGTAATGATGACGGTACTTCCCAGACAAGGTGTAATCAAATATCGTATTGTAATTAAGAGAGTTTCGTGACAGAAGTTTCCCCTGTCCCAGTCTGGATCGAACCGACAGTTCTGTCTGCTGTACCAGTTCCTGTGACTCACCCCACGGTGTCTGAAGCAGCTGTGGGTTCAGCCTCCCGCCCGAGTCCTGACCCGGTTCGGCGCTCCGCGGACAGCGCTCTTCCTTGCCCGGAGCCGGAGACTCAGCTGACTGAGTTGAGACAGGTCAGGTGACACGCGTGTGCGTGGGGAAACTTCAATCCCCCGAGTCCGCACAAACCGCAGGTCAGCGAGCAGAAGAAAAGTCTTGCTGTGCACTTTTTCCAAAGAGCGATATCCCCACCCACACACGGGGGGGGGGGGATCTGGGCCGTGGGAGACGCGAGGAATAGAGAAGCGAGACGGCTGTGGTTTGAAATGACGAATTTCCACAGTCTGTGGGCTCAGGCATCACACTGGAGAACAAGTGCAGAGTGTGTGTGTATGTCAGTGCAGAGCGCATTGTACCCTTGAACAGTACAATACTGACCACACTGTACCCCCAGCACAGTGCAATACTGACCACACTGTACCCCCAGCACAGTGCAATACTGACCACACTGTACCCCCGGCACAGTACAATACAGACCACACTGTACCCTTGTACCCCTGACACAGTGCAATACTGACCACACTGTACCCCCGGCACAGTACAATACAGACCACACTGTACCCTTGTACCCCTGACACAGTGCAATACTGGCCACACTGTACCCCTGGCAAAGTGCAATACTGACCATACTGTACCCCTGTACCCCCGGCACAGTGCAATACTGACCACACTGTACCCCTGACAGTGCAATACAGGCCATACTGTACCCCTGGCAGAGTGCAATACTGACCACACTGTACCCCATACCCCTGACACAGTGCAATACTGACCACACTGTCACCAGGAGCCAAGTTACAAGTCTCAAGTCACTGTGGACGAAGACTGGACACCCCGACACAGCAGAAAAACAGATTATGGAAGAGGCAAAACACTTTCCTTCATTTGTTTTAATGAATATATTGATTTAGGAAGTTATGCAATCAAATGTGTTTTAAAACAGTTTTACATTCATTTGCAGGCTTCAGGAGAGTCTGCAGGCGTAGAGGGAGTGTGTCTTCCTGGGGCGCCCCAACCCTGCAGGCCTGTATTCCCAGAGATCCGTGCTCAGTGCTGAAGGCGGTTCGTTGTGAAAGCAGGCGATCCCAAAACTGCCAGTGTCCGCTGGGAGCCATTCCAGCTCCACTTCATTCAACCAAATCTACCACTGCCTCCCCGTGCAAAACAGCAGGTCAGTGAAGGCTCTGCATGCTTATGGAGTGGGGCTGGAAGGGTGTCATGGAGAAGTGCAGAGTCAGGGCTGGGATCCCCGAGAGCACGCAGGACTGATGCGAGGGTCCTGCAGCAACCTGGATATCTGGCAGGACCCTCGCGTGCAGGCGGGTCGCCAGCGCTGGACCTGCAGTTCAAACTCCCAGTCCAGGGCAGTGTGGTCCATCGTGGGTTTTATGGGTACATCTGTATGTGCACATTAATCTGATCCAACCCAGGTTCAGAGCACTGTCAGTAATGGTAGCTGTCAGTGACACCTGTTTAAGGTGTCCTTAAGTTAGAATGAATATAAAATGTCCTGTTCATGCCAGTCTATGTCACCAGTATACATCTGGAGTGTTCAGCTCACTGTCCTCACTATTCTCACCAGTGCAGCTGAGTATGAACAGTTTTACACAGAGCAACAGGAAAAACTCGAGCGCAGGAATTAATTTCAGTGTCGGTGTTTTGTGAAGAGACAAAGCAGGCAGGGAAATCGAACAGAGGAACAGGCTTCCAAGGGGAGCGAGAGCATCGGTCTTCTCCGTTTCCTCGCAGGCTCGGCGACCCAGGCGCAGGGAGAGGCTGGGGTCTGACGCGGCTCCGTTAACGATTAAGGGGGTGTGCCGAGCCAGCAGGGGGCGCTCTCAGGGACGGTGGCTTCACAGGTGTGTTCAGGCAACACCAGCACCCCCCTCATCAGTCAGAGATGTTCACTGTGCGACCAGTGAGAGAGGGAGCAGCAGAGGGGGGCTGGGGTCGAGAGAGAGAGAGAGAGAGAGAGACCAGCGGGCCGGGCCGGGCCGGGCTGGGTCACAGGGGCTGGGCGGGCTCCTCTGCTCCCGGGTCGATCTCCACGAGGCTGTTGGTGACCCGGATGCCATACCAGCCGGCCCAGAACTGGCAGTCCTTGCCCCCGTGGGTGAACTTGACGAAGCGCACCCCGCGGCCATACTGCCGGAACACGTGCCTCATCTGGGGGGCGGAGACACGGCGTGAGGCGGACGCCCCGCGGCCCGGCGCCCCGGAGCCCACGGCGCCCCTCTCACCTGGTGCCACTGCATGTCGTTCCACTGCTCGAAGTGCACGGGCTTAGGGCGGAACTCCTGCAGGACCTGCTTCCTCTGGGACAGCAGCTGGACGCAGA